CTATTTTCTATTCGTTTCATTCTCAATGTAGCAAGTAAATTGTCAATAATATATATTTATAATTTAAAAAAAAAAAAAAATTTTAATTTAATTTGACTGAAAGCACTAGGTATAGGTTCCCTAGGGACTAGAGCCCAAGGGACTAGGAGCCCTAGAAACCTTCCTCAAAAATTATAAACAATTATTAACATTAATAATAATTAACATGGAAGGGTTAGGCCAGGGAATCAAAGGGTTAAACCAGGGACCCCCCACGAATATTGTTAATAATAATTATTAACAATAATAATTATTATTAACATGAAAGGGTTAAGCGAGGGGGGCCAAAGGGTTAAGCCAGGTGGGGCCAAAGGGTTACAGACCCCCCGTAGGTGTGCTGGAATATACGTATGATCCAGCACACCAGAGACCCACCGCATGTGTGCTGGAACATATATTGCTATACTACTTAGAAAACGTTTTATTTGTTCCGTCAACATGATCGGAATCTAAATCCATAAGCTCAGTAGTTTTAACAGTAATGCTACTGTCGGATTGCTTTGCGTTTTTCTTTGGCATACTTTACACCAGATGTTATTTTGTAAAGTTATTCAGAATTATAATATTATGAGGTTCAAAAATATTATAATAAATCAATCGCAGTAGTAGTCGAAGTTTTTATAGAAATTATTATTATTGTAATACAATAGTAATATAAATTTTGTATTTTTTAATTTTTTTAAGTATACAAATTTGCGGAAAATATTGGGTACCTATATGGATTTAGGATTGCAGATTTTACTGCAAGTACAAAAAAATGACTGTTCGCCACCTAGCGGCCGTTTTATAAGTGAAATATGATTTGAAATAATTTTATTGTAACTTTTATTATTTAGAAAATTAATGAATGCTAAACCTGTGGATTTTCGCTAGAAAAAATATATTTATAAAATAAATTAAGCTTATCAGCCATTTCGAATGCTCGATGTTGATTTTCAATGCAAGAATTTTCAAAAAGTAACAAAATATCAAATCAGCACCCTCAAAAACACAAGAAATATATGTTTTCTCATTTTCCTTTATTTTTCAGAATTTTTCAATTTTTCGTCCGCTATTTTAAATTTTGGATTTTCAAAAATATCAATAATCGATAACAGAAGTCCTGCAACCATACTAATAGTGAAATAAAATTGTTTAGTAGGTATACGTTACATACTTTACTCGAAAAGAAAGGACATTCAGTTAAAATAAAAAATGAAATTTTCACTAATTGTAAGTTTGAGCAGCCATATTGTTTTTGGATCGCAAAATTTGGAAAATCTGTTTGCAGATTCGGAAAGAGCAAGTCCTTTTGCTTCGGAAATGGTATTTTGCAAGTCGATTTCAAGCGATTCTACCCATTTTACAAGACGATAAACCAATCGGTAGTCTCATGGTTAATTGGGAAGAAATGGGTTAATTGGTGGCTACGCGAGTGGAGTTGATCAGGGGTATTCAGGGGATAAGCGAGTGAAGTTAATGAGGGAGTGTTCAGGGGTATGCGAGTAGGATTGATCAGGATGTGAGGTTGAACATGGGTAGGCGAGTGGGGTTGAACATGGGTAGGCGAGTGGGTTTGATCAGGGGCTGAAACTGATCAGGTGGTTTGCGAGTGGGGCTAATTAGTTTGTAGTTTGTAGGGCTCGATAATTCAGAAAATTGGAGTGCATGGGTCAGATTTTTAGCGTAACAGGATTGAGGACTTAAGGCTTAAGAAAATTAGGGATTGATGTCTGGGATTACAGCTCCATAGGTTATAAGGCTCGAGGGTTAATAAAGTTGGAATTAAGAGTCTAGGGTTATAGTCATGCAGGGTTACAGAGCTCAATGGTTAAAGCAATCAGGGTTAAAGGATAAGGGTTTTATTTGTTTTCTTCTATAAAGTAAGCGGATTTATCTTGAAATGACCTTAACTCTAACTCGATGTGTTCAAATGGATTTCAGGTTTGCACCTACGGTGCCTAGGATACGAAGATATATGATAGTATACGACTGAAGCGCATAGGACATCTTCAAAATAAGTTCATATGAGTCAAAAGTAAATTTGGTCTATCTGTCACTTGTTTAAGCTCCAGGTATCCTGGAGAAGTTATGTTGGAAAAACTAAGAATGTGTAATCGAATGTAAAATTTCCCGTTCTTGCCGCATCCGTGGTCGAATTTTCAAATCCGTTGTAATAAACACATTTAATCTTCAAGTAGCCTTGAACCTGATGTGATGGAGGTCAACGGACCTCGGATTTGTATTCATTATATCAAAATACATAAGAGTTATGTGGTTTGGTTAAACAGTTATATTATCAACTTTTTTTATTTCGTAAACCTGTGTAATGTTTATCCAATCAATTTTAATAATTCGTGTGTTTATCACAGATGTGAAAAAATTCTATACAATAGACTGAATTACTCTTAAAAAATACTATACTTCTCTCTTCTTTTACAATTCTATAAAATATTCTTCAATATGGATAAATCATCGATTAAAAATTTTAACATCTATTTTTTCTCATTAATGACTCATAAACTTACCAGTATCGTATAATTCAGTAATGACTTATCAAAAAAATGTGATGTAATAGTCGTGTATAACTTACACTGTATAAATTATCTATATTTATATAATAGACAATCAAAAAGAAGCCTTAAAAAACGTAGGGATGAACATGAGTGGACAGACATTGATTGATCTTTGCCTATTTCTATATATTTAAATAATAAAATAACTATTATAAAAGAAATCTTTCGAGAATACTGTAACTCAAGAATAATATTAATTCGATAAATAGACATGAAGATACTTACATATTTGAGTAATCAATAGGTGTATCAACAGACTGTTGAAATAATGTACTATTTAATAATGAATACTTTATTTTTAATCACACTACCGTATCCATTTGTGTATTGGGAACCTTTTGTTGTTGTATTATAATTTAGATGTCATAATTTTCTTTAGAATGACGATGTTCTATATCCTCCGATTATCTAAGTTTATTTCGAATAATTACATTAATGACGTATAGTTAGAATTACTGTTACACCTATATTTGGCTAGAGAAATATCTTTTCAGAATGTTTCAACTATAATGATAGATATTATTAATATAAAATAACTTCCACAACCATTTTGGTACTAAATTCTTATTTTTTTAGAATTTCGTATTATTTTTAATTTTTCAATCAAGGGATCTAAAGATGCCACATATTAGTAGAAAAACGCGCTTCATCAATAATGTAAGTATTTTATTGAATTTTTCGTCATTAAGGTTTGCCTTTATAACTTTATTATCCAATTAACTAATTTTAAATGTATTGAAATTGTAATATTAAATAAATAAATATTTTTACCCTTCATGAGTCTGCAAGTCCTAACTGTCCTCGGATTCTATATACAAATAAATTTAAACACAATCTTAGATCATATTTATATAAAAGATACTCTATCTGCTATATTTTATTTAGCTGTAACCTATGTTTTTTTAACTTTAATCCCTAATATACATTGTTTTATATAATCTCCATAAACTTTCGGTAGTTTTGTTTCTATTTTCGAAAATAACACTAATTGTCTCTATGATTGTATAAGATTGTGTTTTATTACATTTTATAAATTTACAACTTTGTTATTTAATTAATCAATGTAATAATAGAAAGCATAAATAATTTTAATATTTAAAGAAAGATTAGAACACATATATGTTGTAACGGGGTTGATAATCGTCTTATTATTTATGCGCGCGATCGCATCGAAGAGCGCGCGAGATTATCTGAACGTTCAAATTCGTAAACCGGAGAGCAGGAGGGAACGGGCGTCAGAGATTAGTTAGTAGCAATCATAGCAATCGCGAAATTAAGCTGGCCAACTTACCTTATTAGCAGTCGCACGATAAACGAAAGAAAAAGTTCGTAATTAAGTCTCGGGGAAGTCCGCTTCTGTGACCAAGCGGTTCTCGCTTTCGATTTCACCCTCGATGGCGAAACTCCTCACTCCCACACGCTTACACGCACTCATCTCCGTCAGGCGAAGGCACATCTTCTGTCTGTCCTAATCAGCTCGTCTCGGCACTCAAGAAAACTCGGGAAAAACTCTCTTCGTCACTAGCTAGCGGAGTGCTCAGGTTCTAATCCGCGACTGGTTCATTTTCATACGCGCGCGTTTTGTCCCGTCTCGTGCCGGATTCCCTCGTTACATTTTTCCCCAACCGGCAGGTGCTGCCCTCGCAGGCAGCCGCGTGGATGGGCTGTTAGCGCTAATGGGAAGTTTACCGTCACAATGTACAAAGGAGAAAGTGTTGAGAAAACTGTATTTATTGTGGTATGCACAGTTTTTAGAGACAGCGCACATGCGAGCGACTGACTTTAAGACTATATTTATGTGTTCTGCGTGAATATTTTTTTCGTGCTCTAGCCTATGCATTTTATGCCTAAATAAAGTGCCTTTCATCCTTTCAACTCTGTTTTTTATTTATTTACTTACTCCAGTATATCGTTCCTTTCAACAATATTTATAACAATAATTATTTACTTTTTGAGTATTAATGAAACGGTATTTTGGTGTCAATGCTTTAAAAGTTCATCGTTTCAGGAGTATTTAAGAAAACGAATATCACTAGCTTTAATGATTGATGGGATATGAATTTTTGAGAACGTTGCATCAACTTTTTTTTATTATTTTTTTACCTACCTTTGTAATTCTCTAAAAATGTATACTAAAGTTTGCTACTTCATATAGATATTATTAATCCTAAAAACTCCAGTAAAACCAGCTATTTATATGTCTGTAGCTAATTGTAATAATGTGCCAGTGATAAAAGCTTGTAGATCAATGAGTTTTACTGCAAATTTTACTGCATATAATTGCATTTTGGTACATTCTTCTTAAAATCTAGATCTTATTATATAACTTATAAATCTATCGTTCAACTGCAATTTCTTAAATAGTTATTCTGTACGTTGATTTGACTAAGTATTAATTCTTTTCAGGTAAAGCGATTAGTTTACCAAACGATTTCCTCTACTTTCAAGAAAATAGCCGAGGAGGCGGTGTTTTACAGGTATTCAAAAAATAGCATAACGTTTATAATGGAATAATTTAATCATATATTACATTAATAAAATGACATCACGAATTTCGAAAAACTTCTTAATAAAAACATAAAGAACAAATGATAGGGTATTCCTTTTCCTACCGTTGTGAGCAGAAGGATTTATATTTCGGAGATACGAGGTCTGTCTGGAATGTATCGGGCGTACATTTACATTTTCGTGCTAGCGTTATTCTTTATCATCTGGTGAGTATCATCTCTTGATTGAATAACATGGTTCCATTGGTTTTTTCACTTTTCAAAACAGTCCTGGAACTCACTTTTAGGGATAGCCTTAAGTACACTCGTCGCATTGTTTTCAACCGTTGTTTTGTCATGGAATCGGTGTCCTTTCAGTGTTTTTTTTAGTTTTGGAAACAGCCATAAGTCACAAAGGGCTATGTCGGGACGGTATGGAGGTTGTCGAAGCAATCCGATATTGTGTTTGCTCAAAAACTGCTGCACAAGATTGGATGAATGCGCTGGCGCATTATCGTGAAGGAGAAGCCAGTCACCACTTTCCCAAAAGTGCGGCCGTTTTCTTCTTACTGCATCACGCAAACGTTTCAAATTTTCAACGTAGTATTCTTTATTGATTGTCTGACCTGTTGGTGCATATTCGTGATGTACAACACCTTCACAATCGAAAAAAACAATCAACATTGACTTAACATTGCTCCGACTTTGACGTGCTTTTTTTGGTCTTGGTGATTCAGAATGCTTCCACTGTGAAGATTGTTGTTTTGTTTCAGGATCATCACCTGTAATAACTTTTTTAAGCACATTATCATCATTATTGACCATTTCCAGATTGTTCAGAGCGATTTCTAAGCGAATGTTCTTCTGCTCTGCTGTGAGCAATTTTGGGATGAATTTCGCAAACACGCGTTTCATTCCTAAAATTTCGGTTGAAATTTCTGAAATGATAGTTTTTGGTATCCCAAGGTCTTCTTCTAATTCTCGCACAGTCATACGACGATCTTGTTCAATTGCAAGTCGCATCTGTTCAATATTATTTGCGGTTTTTGTCGTCGAAGGTCGGCCGGAACGAGAATCACTATCGACAGAAGTGCGACCATCCTTGAACCGTTTATACCACTCTTTTATTCATGTTTTGCTCATACACTCGCTTCCGAAGGCCTTTTACATCATTTCAATAGTTCCCGAACTCGCTTTCCGCAAAATTTGATGCAAATTCGTTGATCATGTTTTTCAGTCATTTTTGACAATATCAAAATCCGACGAACGCGAAAAAGGCACTGTAAACAAAGACATGCTGCGCATGAACTATATGTCTGGCAGGTGTCAGTAAGTAACCAATAGATTCGTGAGGCTTTACTGTTAACGTTTTTGTCCAGTAGAGGTCGCTCGAACACTATGGCGCGAAGATATAAACGTCGGTCCGATACTTTCCGGACAGACCTCGTAGATGTGTGGGGTTCATCGAATTTCCAGTCCATACCACACAAGTCTATACACCTCTTCACCTAAACGTATTTTTGCTACCGGGTATTTCAAGATTTTCGGTGCGAGTTCGGACCCGCGGATGCGCGGGTAGCGATCAATATGCAGGATACCTACTAGATTGTCACATCAACTTGACAAGTGAACATTGCCAGCTCCTCGTCTCTACGTATTGACTGCAATAGTGTACCTGTGTCAGCTCGTCCTCGCATAATATCTTGTACGCGTGACCTAAATAATATTAAAATTGTTTTAAGATTACCCATGTGTTTCCTTGTTAAAAACCCCTCCACAACCTCGGATCGAAAAGATCTGTCTGATATAATTAGAATTTGTATATTTTCTAATAGAGGTACATGTATAAATCCTACTGTATAGAGGGATAAATAGAGGGATATTCAGAAATAAAGTGAGCCTTACCCTATTAGATTCATACTGCTTTGTGTTGATTGCTATTAATTTAATAACCAACCCGTAACACGAAATAGAAAAAAATTATAGAATAATAGATAAAAATTTGTTTTTCTCAAACCTTTTATATGTTTTCTTCTCTCTCCTTCCATAGGCTATAGTTATGTATAGTAGAGAAAATATGCGCATACCGTAGAGTGTGAATGCTCTCTTACTTAATAAATCTAAATATATTTAAATAATATCTGATGAAGTATATATTGTAGCTATACTTAAAAAGCAGTAATTTTTTAAATTTAACTTTCATTTATGTTTTGACTCATTTAAAGCTGCTTATCTGACGGCTAGTGTCATTGTGCCTTTCGAGGAAATTCAGTTAATTTATCTATTTGAGACTCGTGGTTTTAGTTAAAGGTAGCCATAGTCCTCATGAGCCCGTCGTTATCAAAGAACTTCAACCTTCATAAGAAGTTATACTACACAGATAATATAAAAATCAAATGCTTAATAGTCGTCATGATTGTTTAGAAAAAGGATAACATTTTTTGTATGACTTAAGCATACAATAGATTATAACAATATCTACTCGAAATCATTATCAGCAAGACCCATTTTTCACTTAATTTAAAAAAAGACTTTAAAATATTTTCTTGATAAATCAGCAGGAGAAACAAGCTATACCAGTAAAACCACAACTTGAACAATAATTGGAACTGGAAAACATATTAATTGATAATCTAATAATCTGAACGCAGAAAAAATTAAGTAGTAGTGGTAGTAGTAGTAGTGGTAGTAGTAGTAGTGGTAGTAGTAGTAGTAGTAGTGGTAGTAGTAGTAGTAGTGGTAGTAGGAGTAGTAGTGGTAGTAGTAGTAGTAGTGGTAGTAGGAGTAGTAGTGGTAGTAGTAGTAGTAATAGGAGGATCGAATGGCGACTTCAACCAGCAGCCTTCTTTTGTCTTCCCTCGATCCGACAATATTCGGCATCATTCGGTTCAGCCCCGCAAGGAGCTTCGACGCCTTCTCCTGCATTCTCCCGGGACGCTCGTTAAAGTCGAGCCAAGAGTCGAAACAGACGCCTAGGTACTTGGCGCATTGGATCCTGGAGACTATCGTATCCCCAACATTTACTCTGAAGTCGCCGCTAAAGTTTCTTCTCCTCGTGATGACTACCACCTCGGTCTTATGACAAGCCGGTGCCAGTCCATGTTCCTCCAGCCACCGCATGATCCTCCGTATGGTTCACTCGATTCTTCGCTTCAGGGCTTCCTTGGTCCTTGCTATCACTCAAAGCGTCACAAAATTCCCGCATTATCTTATGCGCCACCGTCAACGTGGATATACCGCAGCGGAAACCATACGGATTATCCGCGAGGTCGATGCCGGCTTTCACGATGGCTCGAAGTCTTCAAAGATCTTCCCCGTGTAGTCGATCGTGCACAGGGGTCTAAACGACGACGGCGTCACTCCCAGTCCCTTGCCCTTGTCAAGAAAGATGACGCGCTGGACCTTCCACTTGTCACTGAACATGCCTATACATAGACAAGTATTAAATATATCCAGCAGCACATATGGATTTTCCTTCGCTACGACCTTCAATACCTCATTTGAGATGTCGTCTAGAGCTGGAGTCTTCAGGTTTACGAGATCCGTCGTCAACGTCAACCCCATTATTCGTGTTTAACGGCCGGGCCTCCCGTTTAGGATGATCGGGGAAGAGGGACTCTACGATGTTCCGCATATCCTCAGGTGCTGTGTTCCCAAATAGCTTTATAGCGATCTGGTATCTCAGCTCCTATGGGTCTCTGTTGATGCCCTCTCTCAGCTCTCAGAAACACCTTTTATTGCTTTCGTAAATAGCACCCACGAAGTGCTTTCTTGCACTCTTATACCTTGCCACCGCTCCAGCACCTCGTTGTCATGAGTGTACAGCATTTTGTGGAGGCTCCATCGACCCGTATAAACTACAGCTAGTCTATGCGTCGTCGTCGTTCAACACTTTTCCACTTTGAGGGTGATGTGGCGTATTCAAACATTACCACCCTTCTCTCTGGGCGCCATTAGGTTGGCATAGCCCACTGTCTTTCACTCCTTCGCTTTCAAATATTTGGAGATCCGGATTTTATTATTAATCTAAGGCGGTGACCTTTTCGAGAGGAGTACCGATCTTTTCAAGGTTCGACGCTCAGGGAGAGCTGAACTAAAGGCTTGACCCTCGGTTTGGGCGCGACGGGAATCTAGTTGCCCCGACGTCTGCCGCGTCGGAAGCACGCAGCGTACAAATCTTACGAGATTTGCTTGGCCTGGTACCACTACCCCGCAGAGGCCAACCCAAATTGGGATGTCAGAAGAGAGACTCGGCCAGGACAGCCAGAGGAATTTCCTATGACGATCAACCAGCTAAGCCTTCCCTCCTGGGCTCGTGTTCAAAAACATCCCACCCTGCGTACCTGTATTAAGGGATCTCTCCCACGACTCACAGGTCCATCGCTTCGACGTACCGTGGTATGTCTCCCCATTGCGTTTCGGTCATCCCCGCTCACGCTGGTGGGTATCCGTTATTCGAAAAGGTTATTTCCCGGTTCGTCCCCGATGTCGGGCTTCGCTTTCTAGAGAATGGCTCCCAAGACCGGCAGATACCGGTGTTTGCTCTTTCAATTTATTGTTTTGACTACTGGGTCTGGACGGGGCTTCGTCTAGTCGACAAGGCGATTCCCCAGGCAGTTATTAGTATGCATGCCGGTCCCACGAGACACTTGAGTTAAAACTCCGCCTCAGGGCCAAATCGGTAATTCGCGTTCAAATTGTCGAGCTTCAGAGTTTATTTCTGAAGTTCGACATTCAAAAATTATCGTTCAAGATTCAAGCTTGTATGCTTGTGTACGTTCAAAAATTAGGTTATTGTGCGAGTTTTTGTCCTTTTGTTAGGGACCTTGTAAGAGGTGGCGTCTTTCTACCATAGTTTGAAACTATTTTTCTTCGTTTTCTCTTTCTGGGTACTCCTTCCCTGGGCTCTATGACTTTTCTAGCAAAGTCTTCAAAGACTTTGTAGATTTTCCTGCTGGATACTAAGGTCGTTTCCGGGCAGGGCCATACAT